ATCCCTATAGACACCCACAGCCTTTATAGATACCCTTACCCTTATAGGCACTTGAATCGACACCCACTCAGTCCTACAGACACTCACCTGGTCCTATAGCCACCATATACCCTTATATATATATATACAAACACCCATACCCTATATGGACTCCCATGCACCCTATAGATATCCCTAGAGACACCCATGTACCCCCTATATACGCCCATGTGCCCTATGGATGCCCACCCACCTTACAGACACCCACCTGCTCCTATAGACACCAGTGTACCCCTATAGACACACATAGCCCCTATAGACACCCATAGCCCCATAAGACCCCCATGTATCCCTATAGGCCCCATAGCCCCTATAGACCCCCATGTACCCCTATAGGCCCTATGCCCCCTATAGACCCCCCCCATAGACTCCCTTCCACTTATAGGTGCCCATGTACCCCCTATAGGCCCTATACCTCCTATAGACACCCCCTATAGACCCCCTACCCTCTATAGAACCCCATGTACCCCTATAGACCCCATACCCTCTATAGACCCCTATGTACCCCTATAGGCCCCATACCCCTATAGACACCCCTATAGACCCCATACCCCCTATAGACCCCCATGTACCAATATAGGCCCTATACCCCCTATAGACCCCCATGTACCCCTATAGGCCCTATACCCCCTAAAGACCCCCATGTACCCCTATAGGACCCATACCCCTATAGACCCCTCTACATACCCCATACCCCCTATAGAACCCCATGTACCCCTATAGGCCCTATACCCCTATAGACCCCCATGTAGCCTATAGACCCCATTCTCCCTGTAGACCATCCATGTACCCCTATAGGCCCCATACCCCCCATAGACCCCATAGACCCCATAGACCCCATAGCCCCCATAGACCCCATAGCCCCCATAGACCCCATAGCCCCCATAGCCCCCATAGACCCCATAGCCCCCATAGACCCCATAGCCCCCATAGACCCCATAGCCCCCATAGACCCCATACCCCTATAGACCCCACCTGTAGACTGCATACCCCCTATAGACCTCCATGTACCCCTATAGACTTCATACCTCCTGTAGACCCCCATGTACCCCTATAGGACCCACACCCCTATAGAACCCCCTACAGACCCCATTCCCCCTATCGACACCCCATGTACCCCTATAGGCCCTATACGCCTATTGACCCCCCCTATAGACCCCATTCCCCCTATAGGCCCTATACCACCTATAGACCCCCATGTACCCCTACAGGTCCTATACCCCCTATAGACCTCCATGTACCCCTATAGGCCCTATACCCCTATAAACCCCTATGTACCCCATAGGCCATATACCGCTATAGACCTCCCCTATAGACCGCAATACCCCCTATAGACCCCTATGTACCCCTACAGGCCCTATGCCCCCTGTAGACCCCCATGTACCCCTATAGACCCCCCCATATAGACCCCTATGCACCTCTATGGGCCCTATACCTCCTCTAGATCCCCATGTAACCCTACAGGCCCTATACCCCCTATAGACCTCCATGTACCCCTATAGACCCCCCTATAGACCCCATACCCCCTCTATAGACCCCCATGTACCCCTAATGGCCCCATACCCCTATAGACCCTATACCCCCTATAGACCCCCATGTATCTCTATAGACCCCATACCCCTATAGAGCCCCATGTATCCCTATAGACCCCATACCCCCTATAGACCCCATACCCCTATAGACTCCCCCTATAGACCCCCATGTACCCCTATAGACCCCCATGTACCCCTATAGACCCCATACCCCTATAGACCCCCATGTACCCCTATAGACCCCCATGTACCCCTATAGCCCCCCCATAGCCCCCCATGCACCCCTCCCCCCCAGTGAAAGCTCCCGCAGCCGCCTCCAGCCGAAGCTTTATTCACATCCGGGTACAGAGACAGGACCCGGTGGGGGGGGGAGGGGAGGGGCCCCCCCCGACCCCTCCCCCACCCCCCTCCCCCACAAGCCCATTGGGGGGGGGAGGGGCTCGTGTCCCCCGTGCTTGGCTTTATTAAGGATCGATGATTAATGAGTGATTTGTACATCAGCTTCTGCCGTTTAATAAGAACAAGAAGTCCTCGTAATAAATAATGGTAAGAAACCCTAAAAAACCACCAACGAAAACGGGGCGAAAAGAGGGGAAAACGGGCAAAAAGCCACCGAAAAAAAAAAAAAACAACAAAAAAACCCCAACCAAACAAAAAAAATAAAAAGGCCCCAACGGAAGGAGAAATTCATTAATTTAATTAATTAATGGGGGTGGGTGGGTGGGGGGAGGGGAAAGGGGCCCCCCCCCCGACCCCCCCCCCCAGGTGCCTGGCAGTGAGTGGAGCTGGGAGGTAGCGTGGGGTAAGGCCCCCCCCCCCCACTATGGGGCACCCCCCACATCATCCATGGGGCACCCCCATCTATGGGGCACAACCCCCCCCCAATAGGACCAGTGTCTGGCTTCAAAGTGAAGGGGGTGAGGAATGGGTCTTAATAGGGCTCTAGATGCTGATGGGTGCCCCCTTGGCACCCACTGGGTGCTGATTGAAGCCACTGGGTGCTGCTCAAGCTCATTGGGTGCTCCCCAACCCATTGGGTGCTGCTCAAACTCATTGGGTGCTGCTCAAACCCATTGGGTGCTCCTCAACTCACTGGGTGCTGCTCAAACTCACTGGGTGCTCCCCAACTCAGTCGGTGCTCCCCAACTCATTGGGTGCTCCTCAAATTCATTGGGTGCTGCTCAAACCCACTGGGTGCTCCTCATCTAACCCATTGGGTGCTCTTCAAGTCACTGAGTGCTCCTCAGACCCATTGGGTGCTCCTCAACTCATTGGGTGCTCCTCAACTCTTTGGGTGCTCCTCAACTCATTGGGTGCTCCTCAACTCATTGGGTGCTCCCCAACTCATTGGGTGCTCCTCAACTCATTGGGTGCTCCTCAAACCCACTGGGTGCTCTTCAAGTCATTGGGTGCTCCTCAACTCATTGGGTGCTCTTCAACTCACTGAGTGCTCTTCAAATTCATTGGGTGCTGCTCAAACCCACTGGGTGCTCCTCAACTCATTGGGTGCTCCTCAGACCCACTGGGTGCTTCTCAACTCATTGGGTGCTCCTCAACCCATTGGGTGCTTCTCAAGTCACTGGGTGCTCCTCAACCCATTGGGTGCTCTTCAACTCATTGGCTGCTCCTCAACTCATTGGGTGCTCCTCAGACCCATTGGCTGCTCCTCATTCATTGGGTGCTCCTCAACTCATTGGGTGCTCCTCAGACCCATTGGGTGCTCCTCACTCATTGGGTGCTCCTCAACTCATTGGGTGCTCCTCAGACCCATTGGATGCTCCTCACTCATTGGGTGCTCCTCAACTCATTGGGTGCTCCTCAGACCCATTGGGTGCTCCTCAGACCCATTGGATGCTCCTCAACTCATTGGGTGCTCTTCAAACCCATTGGGTGCTCCTCAAATTCATTGGGTGCTCCTCACTCATTGGGTGCTCCTCAACTCATTGGGTGCTCTTCAAACCCATTGGGTGCTCCTCAAATTCATTGGGTGCTCCTCACTCATTGGGTGCTCCTCAACTCATTGGGTGCTCTTCAAACCCATTGGGTGCTCCTCAAATTCATTGGGTGCTCCTCACTCATTGGGTGCTCCTCAACTCATTGGGTGCTCTTCAAACCCATTGGGTGCTCCTCAAATTCATTGGGTGCTCCTCACTCATTGGGTGCTCCTCAACTCATTGGGTGCTCTTCAAACCCATTGGGTGCTCCTCAAATTCATTGGGTGCTCCTCACTCATTGGGTGCTCCTCAACTCATTGGGTGCTCTTCAAACCCATTGGGTGCTCCTCACACTCATTGGGTGCTAATCACTCATTGGGTGCTCCTCAACCCACTGGGTGCTCCTCAGACCCACTGGGTGCTCCTCAGACCCACTGGGTGCTCCTCAGACCCATTGGGTGCAACTACCACCACCTATTGGGTGCCCCCCATGGTTCTGCTTCGCCCTGGGTGGAGCTGAAGGCACTTGGGGGGCAGCCATGGGGAAGGAATGGGAAGGGGGTGGTGGATGAGGGTGCTGGGGGGGGTGCTGGAGATGATGGGTGCCAAAGTGGGTCCAGAAGGAGCAGGAGGAGATGATGGGTGCCAAGGTGGGTCCAGAAGGAGCAGGAGGAGATGATGGGTGCCAAAGGGGGTCCAGAAGGAGCAGGAGGAGATGATCGGTGCCAAGGTGGGTCCAGAGGATCAGGAGGAGATGATGGGTGCCAAGGTGGGTCCAGAAGGAGCAGGAGGAGATGATGGGTGCCAAAGGGGGTCCAGAAGGAGCAGGAGGAGATGATGGGTGCCAAGGTGGGTCCAGAAGGAGCAGGAGGAGATGATGGGTGCCAAAGGGGGTCCAGAAGGAGCAGGAGGAGATGATCGGTGCCAAGGTGGGTCCAGAAGGAGGAGGAGGAGATGATGGGTGCCAAGGTGGGTCCAGAAGGAGCAGGAGGAGATGATGGGTGCCAAGGTGGGTCCATCCCACTCAGATGGGTGCCAGAGATGATGGGCACCAAGATGGCTTGGGCAGGAGCAGGAAGAGATGATGGGTGCCAAGGTGGGTCCAGAAGGAGCAGAAAGAGATGATGGGTGCCAAGGTGGGTCCAGAAGGAGCAGGAGGAGATGATGGGTGCCAAAGTGGGTCCAGAAGGAGGAGGAGGAGATGATGGGTGCCAAGGTGGGTCCAGAGGATCAGGAGGAGATGATGGGTGCCAAGGTGGGTTCACAAGGAGCAGGAGGAGATGATGGGTGCCAAGGTGGGTCCAGAAGGAGCAGGAGATGATGGGTGCCAAGGTGGGTCCAGAAGGAGCAGGAGGAGATGATGGGTGCCAAGATGGGTCCAGAAGGAGCAGGAGGAGATGATGGGTGCCAAGATGGGTCCAGAAGGAGCAGGAGGAGATGATGGGTGCCAAGATGGGTCCAGAAGGAGCAGAAAGAGATGATGGGTGCCAAGGTGGGTCCAGAAGGAGCAGGAGGAGATGATGGGTGCCAAGATGGGTCCAGAAGGAGCAGGAGGAGATGATGGGTGCCAAAGGGGGTCCAGAAGGAGCAGGAGGAGATGATGGGTGCCAAGGTGGGTCCAGAAGGAGCAGGAGGAGATGATGGGTGCCAAGGTGGGTCCAGAAGGAGCAGGAGGAGATGATGGGTGCCAAGGTGGGTCCAGAAGGAGCAGGAGGAGATGATGGGTGCCAAGGTGGGTCCAGAAGGAGCAGAATGAGATGATGGGCACCAAGATGTGTCTACTGGGAGTAGGAAGACATGGCAGGTACCAAGATGGGTCCAGTAGGGCCAAGCGGAGATGATGGGCACCAAGGTGGTTTATGTAGGACCATGAGATGATGGGCACCAAGGTGGATCCAGTAGGGCCAAGCAGATGATGGGCACCAAGATGGTTTATGCAGGACCAGGAGGAGATGATGGTCACCAAGGTGGGTCCAGCAGGGCCGAGCAGAGATGATGGGCAGGAAGATGGTTTATGCAGGACCAGGAGGAGATGATGGGCTCCAAGATACGTCCAGGAGGACACAACATGCCAAGATGGGTCCAGTAGGGTAAAGTAGAGATGATGGGCTCCAAGGTGGGTCCAACAGGAGATGATGGGTGTCAAAATGTGTTTATCAGGGCCAAGCACATGATGGGTGCCAAGATGAGTTGGCCAGAAGTAGGAGAAGATGGGCACCAAGATGGGTCCAGTAGGGCCAAGCTGAGATGATGGGCACCACAGTGAGTTGGGGAGGACCAGGAGGAGGTGATGGGCACCAAAATAGGTCCAGGAGAAGCAGGGTGAGATGATGGGTGCCAAGATGGTTTATGCAGGACCAGGAGGAGATGATGGGCTCCAAGACAGGTCCAGGAGGACACAACATGCCAAGATGGGTCCAGTAGGGTAGAGATACTGGGCACCAAGATGGGTTCAGCAGGGCCAAGCTGATGATGGGCACCAAGGCGGTTTATGCAGGACCAGGAGGAGATGATGGGCTCCAAGGTGGGTCCAGGAGAAGCAGTAGATGATGGCTGCTAAGATCTCCTCAGCAGGGATAAAAGGGACCAAGATGGGTCCAGCAGGGCCAAGCAGAGATGATGGGCACCAAGATGGGTCCAGCAGGAGCATGGGGAGATGATGGGCACCAAGATGGGTCCAGCAGGGTCAAGCAGAGATGATGGGCACCAAGATGGGTCCAGCAGGAGCATGGGGAGATGATGGGCACCAAGATGGGTCCAGCAGGGCCAGGAGGAGATGATGGGCACCAAGATGGGTCCAGCAGGGCCAAGCAGAGATGATGGGCACCAAGATGGGTCAGGCAAGACCAGGAGGAGGTGATGGGCTCCAAGAAGGACCCAGCAGGACTTGACAAATGCCAAGATGTGTCCAGTAGGGTAGAGATGGGCACCAGGGAAGGTCCATCAGGAGCAGAAGGAGATGATGGATGCCAAGACAGGTCCAGGAGAACCAGAAGATGATGGGCACCAAGATGGGTCCAGGAGGGGATGGTGGGTACCAAGATGGCTTGGGCATGACCAAGTGGAGGTGATGGGCACCCAGATGGCTCCAGGAGAACCAGGACGTGGTGGGTGCCAAGAAGGATCCAGCAGGACCAGAAAGATGTGACAGATGCTGAGATGTGTCCAGCAGGAGCATGGGGAGATGATGGGCTCCAAGATGGGTCCAGCAGGGCCAAGCAGAGATGATGGGCACCAAGATGGGTCCAGCAGGGCCAAACAGAGATGATGGGCACCGAGATGGGTCCAGCAGGGCCAAGCAGAGATGATGGGCACCAAGATGGGTCCAGCAGGGCCAAGCAGAGATGATGGGCACCAAGATGGGTCCGGCAGGGCCAAGCAGAGATGATGGGCACCAAGATGGGTCCAGCAGGGCCAAGCAGAGATGATGGGCACCAAGATGGGTCCAGCAGGGCCAAACAGAGATGATGGGCACCAAGATGGGTCCAGCAGGAGCATGGGGAGATGATGGGCACCAAGATGGGTCCAGCAGGGCCAAGCAGAGATGATGGGCACCAAGATGGGTCCAGCAGGGCCAAACAGAGATGATGGGCACCAAGATGGGTCCAGCAGGAGCATGGGGAGATGATGGGCACCAAGATGGGTCCAGCAGAGATGATGGGCACCAAGATGGGTCCAGCAGGGTCAAGCAGAGATGATGGGCTCCAAGATGGGTCCAGCAGGGCCAAGCAGAGATTATGGGCACCAAGATGGGTCCAGCAGGAGCATGGGGAGATGATGGGCACCAAGATGGGTCCAGCAGGGTCAAGCAGAGATGATGGGCACCAAGATGGGTCCAGCAGAGATGATGGGCACCAAGTTGGGTCCAGCAGGAGCATGGGGAGATTATGGGCACCAAGATGTGTCCAGCAGGAGCATGGGGAGATGATGGGCACCAAGATGGGTACAGCAGGGTCAAGCAGAGATGATGGGCACCAAGATGGGTCCAGCAGAGA